TACAAGAGCTGCTGCTTCTTCTGCCCTCCATGTGGGCATTCCACTACACAGTATCTGCAAAGTGGCCACATTCACGAACCACATTTGACAAGGTTTCTCTTGATATCCTTGTTTATGGGACAGTAAAATACTAATTTGCACAACACTATGACTAGCACGCATGTGGGGGGGAACCTTTACCTTTACAGTTAGATAGATCCATAATAGGTTCAGTAACTGTATTTGACCAGTACTAATAAATGGATTATCATCTTCTGAGATGGAGATCTTGAGTGGAAACCCACAGAGCTCTGTCCTTGACGCTGTGCTGTTCAATATTTTTATAGCTGGCTGAGGTGTGTCTTACCAAGTTTGCAGATGACATGGATCTGGAACACCATAGTAGATAGAATTAAGATTCAGAAGGATCTAGACAGGCTGGAACAGTAGGTTGAATCTATAAAGATGAAATTCAACAGAGACAATATCAAGTCAGGTACAAATAAAGCAAAGATACAAGTATAAGATGAGAAAGACCTAGCTTGGCAGCAGTACATGTAAAAAGGACTTAGATGTTTTATTGGATCAGCAAGCTGAATATGAGCCACTAGTGTGATGCAGCCTCTAAGTAATTTGATGAAATCTGGCACTGGTTTAATAGAAGCATTGTGCCCAAATCATGGGATGTTATTGCTTTGCTCCGTCCTACATTAGTCAAGTTCATTTGGAGTACTGTGTCCATTTTAAGAATGATAAGTGCAAGCGTGTTCAGAGAAGAACAACCAGGATGGTGAGTGGCCTGGAAACCAAGTCAAAGGAGGAACAGTTGAAAGCTAGGTATGTTCAGTCTGGAGACATAATAGTGGTTTTCAAATATGTGAAAGGCTGTCATGAAGTAAGCATAGTCAATAACGAGGGCCCCAAATTGCCCACTCCTGATCTAAAGGAACATATACCAAGGTGGAAGAGAGGGGGTTTTCTGGTCCTATATTAGCGGCAGTGGTAACAGTAGCCTTATTTTGTCATCAGGGCTGGTATGAGAGATTATTTATTATTTATTTATTGTTTATTAAAAGCTTGTTTATACTGTCCTAGCACAAAAGTCTCAGGACACTACTACAACAAGAAGCACAGCATCATCAATCCTCAGATAAAAGCCAATTAAAATAACAATTAAGCCTTAAAATATTGTGAAAATAAAAAGGGTTTGGCCTTGCACCAAAAGGAATAAAGTGTTGGCACCAGGCTCACCTCTCTGGGGAGCATGTTCCATAACCGGGGCACCACTGCAGAGAAGGCCCCTCTCTGGCTATCCACTCCTCTGATCTCCTTCAAGGAGGGCTCCTGAAGAAGGACCTCCAAACCCAGATCTTAGGGATAGGCAGGTATGTATGGAAGGAGCAGTGCCTTCAAATATCTAGCCATTTAGGGTCATCACCAGCACCTTAAATTGGACCCAGACTTCAACTGGAAGCCAGTGCAGATGGTAAAGGACTGGCATTATATGTGTATTCATCAGGTACCTGTTGAAACTTATACCTCTATAGGGGGATCAACTGCCTTTTCCCCAAAGCTCCTGGACCTTGTTCATCTTCCTTGAGGGTTCCTGTTCACTTTCCCTCTGTAAAATGAATGAGCAGAGACTGGAGTGAGGAGAGGAAACAGCTGTCATAGTCATTGCCTGGGTGATGGTGCAGACTGAACCAGAGTGGAGAAAGCCAGTGAAGCAGGGAGGAGGTATTGGACCCATGAAAGGGGTCATCTTGGCCAAGGTCACTCCACCAAAAAATATACCAGATGTCCTGATAACCATGCATTTGGTGGTTCATTGATATATGTTATTGATTAGTTTTATATTGTTTCTACTGGTATCAAACATGACTATTGCATGGCATTAAGATATCGTTTCTCCAAATTTTGATGCACAAAGCACCATATCTTTTTCCTGAATTTAAAGAGAAGACACCTTTCATATGCTTTGAAAACTACCCAATAGTGGTGGTCTTCTAGAGCAATGTTTAGGCATTCTCCTAGTAGCTGTGGAATAATCCAGGTTGTGTTGCATGCTGATTCTACCTGTGATGATTCTGAGATTCTCTTGAATCTTTAAACAGAAGCAGGCAGAATAGACTTCTGCCTACTTCTGTGCATGCTGTAGTGTTCTTTGTCATCAATCAGCTGAGCAGTGTGGCCATATCCCAACCTTCTTGTTTAATAAGAGTTTTAATCTTATTTCTAGTAGGATTTGGAAGGCAAAGGTAATACCTTAAGGACTACAGTATTTCATGAATACTCTTCAGTCTTGTGGAGTGGATGTCTTTTATGTGGATTAGACACTGTGATTTGGAGCATATGCCTTGGTGTTCAGCATAATGCTTTGAAAACTTTGGAAAGACAGACTGCTTATTCGTTTTCCACCCAAAAGACAATATTTTAATGTAGAAGTACATTGTTACTTCTGTAAGGAACTCATATGAAATGATGGCTAGAGAATGACAGAATGCTGAGACAGCAGGCAACTTAGAACAGAAAATAAAGATCACCCAGCCCCCATGCCAAATATATGCATTTCAAGTATGGACCAAAATAGGTGTCCACCTTAAGTGGCCATTAGTTGTATCTGAGACAAAACCCTTGAGTTTTATTGTTAGTTTCCTCTTTTTTCCAGGTGATCTTGGCTTTGTTTCGTGGAATTATATTAACTCCTCCAGACCTACATATTGCTTACTTCATTGTCGTTCTAGCCCTTGTCAGAATATTTTAAAATCCTGCAAAGTCCACTCTATCTCATTATGAATACATTACAAAAATCAAGCGGTGTGCTCATAATTCATACTGAATGACGTATTTGGTTTTGGGGGTGAGAAAACCTCCAGTTGGTGGTACTGGAGAAAAAACTTGTCCATTTGTAAGGTTTCATTTGGATGTTACTGTCACTTTTTAATGAGCCTGGTATGGCATGAACTGCTAAGGGCATATATGTTTCCTCACCTTTTCTTTATTACAAAAATGATTCAGTTTTTTCAACAAATAACCTTATCCCTGTAACAATTCCATAATTGCCATATTCGGTTTGCCATCAAACACCGTATCTGCAAAAAGCATGTATGACTCTCAGAGACTATTAAACATTATTAATGTGAGGAAGGAAGCAGTGAAATTTTGTTACGTTGAACACACAACTATGCAAGCATGGCAGGGGAAGGTGGGATAAGTGGGGTGTGTACACACAGTACTTGAGTGGGGACTTCAAAGCCAGTAGGGATGGTAGAAAGTAAGCTATTACAGTCAAGCTCATCCACAGCACTGGCTGGGAAAAAGTAATCCCTTCCCACTCAGTTTTACTAATAGGAAACTGACTACCCAGTTTTGACCCCCACACTTAATTTTATATTTTGCATTTGCACTTAATTTTATATGGCCTTCTCAGTGTTTGATTTCCTTTTCTTTCTGAAATTAACTCTTGTTCTCCACTCTGCTACTCGTACCAAAGTTTATGGCTACTTTGCTTTTGCACAGCACAGTTCCAGGGAAAAGCAATGTGTGTATTGCAGAATAATTTGGAAGGTCATGTGCATTACCTCTCTCGGTTAGCATATTCTGCTTTGCAGTTTCACTGCTATAAAGTCAAGTTGTGACAATGCCCCAGTAAGCGTCCTCTCATTCTTATACTTAATTTGTAATTTGAGGTAAGGTAGATAAAAATCTTAAAGGAAATCAACCCTGACTGCTCTTTAGAAGCCCAGGTACTGAAGATGGAACTCAAATACTTTGACCACCTAATGAGAAGGAAGGACCCACTGGATAAGACCCTAATGCTGGGAACAATAGATGGCAAAAGAGGAAGGGGATGGCAGAAAATGAGGTGGCTAGATGGAGTCACTGGGGCAGTGGGTGTGAGCTTGGGTGGACTCTGAGGGTTGGTGGAGGACAGGAGATGGTGGAGGAATGTTGTCCATGGGGTTGTGATGAGTTGGGCATGACTTTGCAACTATACAACAAGAGATAAAAATCAGTGATTAAAAAATAAAATGTAATTTAATTCAGATTTTGAATTTTAAAACATAGACTGAGTTTATTTAAATCAAAATATGTATATGTTAGCCTGAAAGTTAATCTGACCTGAATCAGTGCCTCTACCAGATATACTTTGAAGGATCATTTTCCAAATACAGATGTTTTACTTACTAAACAGAGGCATTTAATTTTTACATTATGAAAATAAACTGTTCTATGTTGCCGTCAAACTATGGGCATTTCATTTTTGCTTGCTGATTGTTTTGTGAGAATAAGGCTGAGTCAAGGTAGAGAAAAGCAAAAAAAGATCGTGCTGGAAAGAGGAGGAGGAAGAGAAAAATGTCCACACTGTACAGGTTTCTGTATGCCCATACTTAGCCTCAAAAGTTGTCATGGGTGCTTATTGAAAAAGACAATATGAGAAATACTTTGAAGCATACAAAATGTATAAAGTGCAATACAGATGGAAGGCCAGGTTCTAATGATGCAATACAATATATAAATAAAAGTTTTGTTCTGGCTTTCCTCAGTCTGGTGCCCCCCAGAGGTTTTGAACATCAGCTCCCATCAGCCCCAGCCAGTATGTCTAGAGGTCAGGAATCCTAGGATTTGTTGTCTGTCTAGTGAGCACTAGGTTAGGGGAAGCTACTCTCTTTAGTTGTGAATGGATATGTTCTTGTGTCCAGGTTTGCACCATTGTTAGAAAATAAAGGAAATTTCAATGGGAAACCTGATTTAATTTTACCTTTTTTCTTGCTGATCTAAATAATCAAGGAGTGACTTGTTCAAAAAATTGTCTTTACCCTTTCTAGCTTCTACATATGCCTAAGCAAATACAGTAACATTTCTGACTCCTGAAATAGTTTCTGAAAATGAGTTGTTGGTATCTTTAGACACAGCCATTGTTTCAGCCTTACTACATCTTTGCCTTGTGCTGTGAAGAACCATATGGTTTGATCATATCTTCACAGTCTTACCTGTGTCTCTTTCTTTCTCTACAATAGATACCTTTGTCTTCAGCACCATGACCTCTGACTTGGAAAGCAGCCTCACTTCCATAGATTGGCTTCCACAGCTTACTCTTCGAGCCACTATTGAGAAATTAGGAGGTGCTTCTCAGGCAGGCCCTCCAGGGACTGGTCGAAAGTGCCCTCCAGGCTCACCCACTGATCCCAATGCCACCTTGAGCAAAGATGATGCTGCAGTTCACCAGGATGGAAAGCCACGCTACAGCTATGCCACTCTGATCACTTATGCCATCAATTCTTCACCCGCTAAGAAGATGACCCTCAGTGAGATCTATCGCTGGATTTGTGACAACTTTCCATACTACAAGAATGCTGGCATTGGGTGGAAGGTGAGCATACCCAATTTTAGAGACCCAGCTCCTCCCTCTATGAGAACCTGTTCTCATTGAGCACCCAGGGATGTGCTCATTTATTAGTATGGTCATGCCGGCAGTGTAGATAGTGCTTTACGGAGTAGACAGTACCCTATTCCAGTTAGTTTATATTCTAAATGTTGAGCTGAGCAGGGAGAATGAGATGGTGAAACTGTTTCTGTATGGGTATGTTGAAGTACAAATTTAATGCCACATATCAGTCCTATATGCTTGAGCCCTCTCCCACATTTTTAATACATGCAAGTAGAGAGTCGTGCCACAGACTTTCAAAAGTTCAAATGCTTCTTTAGTAGTGGTGTCCAGCCTTTTTGGCAAGTGTGCTACAAGTCAGTGAAATAGTAAGCAGTGTCTGCTGCAACAAATATGCAGCTTCTCACCTCAGCACAGTCTGGGAAAGGCAGGTTACATTCTAACCTTATGTCCAGCAGTGCCACAAATACCATGACATGCTGAGGTCGGTCTCCTCTGTTTTATGCAATCTTGGTTCTTTCTTCAGAGCAAACAGAATACTTAGCTTTCAGATGCTAGCCAAAACTTTCTTATATTGACTTGTAGGTAGGGCTGGGGCTTTGTCAAGGCTCTCTTGCAGTATGACATTTTTAGAATCTGCTTGTATTTTCTCCAGCATAGGTTTAATTATTTTATTAACTTGATTTTATGGCCCATCCTGTCCTAATGGCTCTGGCTAGGTAACACTTTTTAAATCATAGGAATATGGATGATTATGAACAGTTAGAATATTGAACTCTTATCTTGCCCTTATGTATGAATATGTTCATAGTGAATGAGCCAGCTGATTTCAGCTGCCATGAGCAAACAATTCTGATGTGCCTGAGAGAAACAATGCTATTTTATGCATGATTTGTGACTCTGGCTGTAGTTTAGCAGTTCACATGATAACTTTGCAAGAAACATATTTAATCTGCGCAAGAGGAAAAGTGAAAGCAGAAATTGAAGTAAGACCCATGGGTGGATATATGAATCAGTTCTGAGTCACATAATTAGAGAACTGTGGAAGTATACAAGCACAAATTCAGGACAGAGATATTACAGTAGCTTGTCAGGTCTGGAGCCTAGCTTAGTTGCAGGCTGCAACCGAGGCCTGATTCTGGCCAAGATACAGGGCCAAATGAGTCAGAACCAGAAGATGAAGCAAAAAGATGGTCTGGCTGGGTACCAGTTCGACCAGATGTGTTAACTGGGGTTGGACAGACAAAACCAAAGGCAGGAACATAGTTAAAGACAATCCAAAGATAAGGGACAAGGTGAGGCAATCTGTTCTTTTTCTTTCATCTGTGGAGTTACTCAGACAGTGGAATAGATCAAAACAGGACCCTTTTGATTCCTCTAGTCAGCTGCAGTTCCAGCCTCTGTCAGCATTAGAGTAGTGCTGCAGTGTAGAAGAGATTAGGTTTCTAATCCCTTAATCTGAGCATTTCTGGTGGTACAGAGGGAGTAAGGTGTGCTTTGATTTGCACCCCACTGATGCTTTATTAACTTATTATAGTTCTAGTCTGCCTTTTTTTTCCTTTCAAAGAACTCAAGGTAGCTTGCATAATTTTCCTCTGCCTCTCATTCTTATCCTCACAACAACAACCCTTTGAGGTAGGTTCGGCTGAGAGTCTGTGACTGGCCCAATGTCACCCAGTCAGCTCCATGGCTGAGTGGGGACTAGAACCCAGATCTCCTGAATTCCACCTTGCACTCCTAGTGGCTGTACCACACTGACATTCCAATTGCGTTCCATCAGTTTGAAGCTGTAGAATGTTATGGTTTTTTGTTCAAAACTTCCCAGTGAATAGGTAAGAGATGCCAGAATCGCAGTCTGGCAATGGGAGTGGAATTTGATTCAGTTTGGAAGCCCAGCTTTCTTTTGCAAAGGGGGTGTGTGTGTATGTGCGTGCACACGCAGTTTGTAGAGGAATAGGAATATTTGGAGGAAGCTGTTTAACATTGTTTTGGTGTGCCTGCCACTTTACACCAGCACTCCTTTCTTGGTTTTCCCTACTTGATGTATCTATATGTCAATGCATATCTATGCTTGGGAAACCTGACTGAGGAAAGAGCTGCAGTGTCAGAATTGAGGAAGTTATAGGGAAATGGGTAAACAGCTTCCATATCTATCATGTAATTTTTCCCCGGTCTCTCCCTAGAACTCGATTCGTCACAATCTGTCTCTGAATAAATGCTTTCGAAAAGTGCCTCGCCCTCGGGATGATCCTGGAAAGGTGAGGGTTTGGAAAACCTGTTCAGGGGTTTCTCTGTCAATTCTGAATTGTCCTTCTGTCCTGCTTTTTGAAAAATGGGATGACGTGAATGAGCAGATAAACTATTGGGATAAAATTACTCAGACAAGTTCTATTCCCTCTGTCCCAGGTTATAGCAGCTTAAAAAAATACTGTACATGTTTGTGAAAAAAATGGTGCAATGATATTTACTGCTCAACTGAAAGAAAGGGAAAGAAAACATGCATAGTTTATTCACGTGTATTGAACAGTGTAATACTAATGAAATGTGGTATGAGCTAAATTACCTTTGCACTCTTCAGTAACTGCACATTAGGAAATACCAAGGAAAAGTTGTGGGTCTTCGTGCATACTCGATGTGTATGGTGTTCTGTGAATATTTCTTGAAATTTTACTGCATTCTGCAGTGGTCATTCTGTTTCATGTTTTTACATCGGAACTGAAATTCTTGTACAACCTATTCTTCCTGAAAGGGGTTATGGGAGTTTAAAGGATTATTCGGATTGCAGAAATCAGGCAAGATGTTGCAATGGAGAGAAAGGGCATGAATTGGCAGCTCTGCAGGCAGCATGTTCTTTAGCATTCTGGATTGCACTCCTGCTGTTGCTAACTGTAGTATGAATGGCTCACTTTAAACTGTTGTCACCAGTAGATCTTGTTCTTTCCAGGGTTCTTATTGGACAATTGATACTTGTCCTGATATCTCCCGGAAGAGACGGCATCAACCGGATGATGATGTGAGTGTGACTATCCCACTAGTACCCCCAAGGTCTAAAGCAGGCTTCCCATACCTGGTGGCCTTCAGAAGCATTTGGACCCTAACTCCCAGAACTCCCATCCAGCAAGGCCATTGACTGGAAATTCTGGGTGTTGTAGTCCAAATGTTTCTGGAAAGCACAAGTTTGGGAAAGGCTGGTCTAAAGCATTTGTGAGCAGGAAAATTGGCTGGTGTTTTCAAAAAGTATGGGCCATGCTTCTAAAGAAGTGTGTGGCACAGAAGAAGTATAAAATGTAGCACTGAGATTCTCCATGTTCTCATTTTGTTTTGTTTAGTCTATGGCTTTGAAGAGATCTTTGACAGTATACAAGCAATGCCTGCTGAAAACTGAAAATTCAGAGTCGGCAAGGCTGCATAAGATTTCCAGCAACCAAGGAAAGGAGATGCTTTAGTGCCCTCTGTTCTTTAGCACCTCTCACTCACTTTACTCTGTGATTGTTAAAAATAGCAAAATGCATAATACATTGTACAAATTTGTATAATTTATATTACTGTAACATTTATTTTAAATTATTTAACTTACTCTAACATTCCGAAGACAAAGTAAAACCGACATGTCATAGTGAAAGATCTCTTGCACTTATAATAACAGTAATGTAAGAACAATAAATAACGCTTACATTGTTCAGCCATGCTAATGTTCTGTCCCTTACTAAAAGTAGGGCCACAACATTTAGGTTACTTACTTTGGAGTATGCCCCATTGAACACAGTGAGGCTCGTTCTGGAGTAAATATCTATAGGGTTGAACTGTTAATTGATGAATTGGTTAGATTAATCAGTTACACATTTTTAAGGTGCACACCTATGCAAATTTATGTAGGATAAATGTATGAAGTTCCCAGCATAACCCAGCAAGTTGTGCTGGCTGTGGCATGCTGGGAAGTGCAGACTTTTTCTTGTTTAAAGGTGCAGTCCTAGGCAAGTTCAGTCAGTAAAAGCTTGACCCCAACTGGACTGCAGATAGGTAAAGATAAATAGAAAGCTGTTTAGTACAGGTGCTTAATGAAATTGTAGATGGCAAGTGCTATCTTAAAAGAGGCATTTCCTCCTTAACTCGCACTTGGGAGGTCATTCCTCTTTTAAGATAAAGTCAGTTTTGGCTAATGTGCATAATCTAAAACCAAAGTACTTCTCACTTCAGAAATACTATTTTTAATCCATATGCAAACTTGACTGAACAACTGATGAATCAGCTAAAACTTGCATGATTAAAAAATATATTTCTTCAATTGGATTGCAGCCTTTATTTACTTGTTATTAACAGATGTTTAAAACTGCTCTCTAAAAGTTATCACAGTGGTTGAGTCTGGGCTGGTGGTCCTAAACAAACACACCCAAAGTGACTTTGGTGTTTTCCATCAGACAAAGAGTTTGGATTCAGTGCTTGTTCTAGAATATTATGGGGCAAATGTTTGCCCTGTTGGTTGCTAAACGTGTGCCTCTTAACCACGCTGAACCTTGGTTTTATGTTGAATATGCAGCTTATTTCTCTATCCATCCACTTCTTATGCATTTGTCTTGCCTTTCCATCTGTTCAGTTATCACAAGATTCTCCAGACCAAGAAGCAAGCAAAAGCCCACGGGGGCCTGTCCCTGTTGGTGCAGAAGCATCACTGTCCCCTGAGTCCACCCAGCCACTGTCACTGCAAAGCACACCGCCTATTGGCAATTACAGTCAGGTACGTAGAGATGGGTTGGCTAGGAGGAAGTGCCCTTGAACATGGAAGGTGAAGAAACAGAAGGGGAAAATTAATATGGGGAGGGGGGTAGCTTGAAGGAGAAAGGAAGAAAAGAGCTGCAGGATATTACAGTGCAAAAAACCCGCAGTCAGAAATGCACTTTGTCAGAATGAAGTTTTTGAATGTGCACCAAAGCTTAGTCTGGAATGGGGTAGCCTACATTTTAAAAGTCCCTAATGCCTAAAGATCAAGTGTCCCAACATTTATTTAATTCATCTGTTTGTCTTCAGCAGAATGCGGGCCCTGTGGATGTGGCTGCAACAGTGGCAGGTGGGCAAGGTCGTGAAGGGACAGATGTGCCACCTCCACACTACAGTACCAGCAATGACTTGAAATTCTCTTATTCTGAGATCAACTTCCAGGACCTGAGCTGGTCCTTCCGAACTCTCTATAAATCCATGCTTGAGAAATCCTCCTCCTCCTCCCAGCATGGTGAGTAACAGTGCCAGGCATGATCTGAAAGGATGGCAAGGGTAGCGGTGTATTTACATACTAGATATTTATCATAGCCATGAACTTTGTTATTTGCTAAGAAAGGTCCTAGTGTATACCTGCTGTGATGCTCGCTGGCTACCTTGTGGCCTGTAGGCAGCATCTGGCCATTTACTTGGTTTTTCTCAGCCCCTTCCCAGGTCTTGATGAAAGATACTGTGAATGGATTTATTGCATGCCCTTTTGGCTAGACATGCTGCTTTGAGACTGACTAGCCCAAAAACTACATGGAAGAAAGCAGCAAGTCGTTTATTACTTGACAGGCACCATTGTGATGTGGGAACTTTCCTCACCTTCCTTAGTCTGTGGTGCTACACTCAGCCTGGCAGAACCTCATGATCAGAATGTGTCTCCTAACCATAAACAACCACACCTCATCCAACCCGATTGACTTCAGAAGTTGGCTTGCTCTTTTCAACTGCTCTGTTTTGTAGATTGGATCATGAATTAAAATTTACTACATAACTAGGGGTGCTACTATTTTTCTGTGTGCTTTAAAGCAGAGTTTTTAGCTGGATTCTTTGTTGCAGGACATCCTTATACAGCCAGAAAAACTGAAAGACTCATGATTGGGTTAGTTGAAGTGCTAGAAATAGGTTGCAGTATTATTTGCTTCTAGCTCTAGTGTACTTTGGAATCTATGCTTCAGTGATGACCACTGGAGGGCACTATCTCATGAAAATTCTCTTCTGCCTAACTCTCATGCAGAAAAGGGCTAACAACTTGTGCTTCTTGTTGCTTCAGCTTGTTTTTCTGTTGAGACTCAGGGTCAAATTAATGGAAGTATTAATAGGAATCTGATCACTGCTGTAACTAGTGGACTGATAAACTTGCTTTATCATATTTGGGACTGCAGGGGAAGATAGTTTTAGTACTGAGGAATAGCAAGTATGGGAGTAGTTATTTTCATGTTTTCACCTTAATCTTCCCTCCAGATTTCTCCTCTCTCTTGGGTGACATGCAGCCATCCAACCACAATTACTATATGTACCAGCAACAGCAGGTTCCCTCTTCAGTGGGAGCAGCACCTCCACTCCACACTCCAACCTCAGAAGGCTGTCCATCTCAGGGTAGCAAGCAGCAAGGAGGTGACAGCTATGGTCCCCCACCTGTGATGTCCATTCACCCTTCCCCAATGCAGCATGGAGGATACCATCAGCATCAACAGCACCATCCGCACTCTCATTCACAGCAGCAGCAGCAGTCACAGGCTTCCATCAATAATGCTAGCTTTGGTAAGTTACAGAGTGAAAATGCAATATCAGGAGTTAATTAAATTAACTGGGTCAAAGATTATGCTGTTAGGCTGGATGTTAGCAGCTTTTCATATGTTTCTTTAACATTTAGTGTCTGGCGTTAGCTTTCATGGCCTACAGCCCACATGGGTGCATCTCAGAAGCTTTGACCAGGCATCTTCTGACAGTTACCAAAATACACAGACCTGGAAGTTCTGGGCACCCCATTGTTTCAGGAACTGAAATGGGCTGTAGTCCATAAAAGCATATATTATAATAAATGTGTTAGTCCTTAAGTTGCCTCAATATTCCTTGACCTGATTAGCTATAGTGGATTGTTGTGTTGTGTGAACCCTGTCTGTTTTGTGCAGGGTGGCCTTTTTGTGGGTAACATGCCACTCTGACAACTCATGGCTTGTACTTGTGGTTGTTGCCATGTCATCTAGATCTGGGCAACCAACCCCATTGTTGGTTCAGGGAAATGGTTAGTTAGCAGCTTGGCAAAACCAGTAAAACTCCCTTGTTCATATCAGGAAGAGCTGCCCTACTGATGAAGTTTTAAGACTTTATGTATACTTAAGTTGCTATCAAAAAACTTAATTTTGCCTTGCCAAAAACCCTGTTCTGAAAGGAACCCCATGTGCTGATGGCTCCTGTCAAACTAACAAGTCCTATTAATAGGGAGCTCACACTTTTCCACTTTTCTAGAATCTTTGGAAATGAGGGGAAATGTACAGGACTCTGAGTAGAGGATCTTGCCATGAAGAGGATGCCCTGTTGGCTGCCCCCTTTTGCAAGAGCTATCACTCATAGCTGTGATTTCCCTTGATAGCTCATCTGTCGAGAAAGTGCAGAGTAAAAAAGCCCCAGTTATTTATAGCTTCTTTAGATCACTGCCCATGATTGATGCCCCCTGCACTTTAACTGCAGACACCTCCCAGGACATCACCTAGGCAAGACTTCCCATTTCAGACCCTTACAAGTACACACCTCTGAATTTGTACAAGACCAGCTAAAAATAATTGAAAAAAATTAACAAAAATATTTGGGTAAATGTTTGCACTTAAAAAAGAAAGTGAACCAGTGGGAGCCCTCCACTATGCAGCTTTGGCAATTTGGACAGGTTCTCTCTGGCTGTCATCTTGATAATTGTGAAACATGTGCTCTGACAACAATGTGGGAAAGATAGGGCAAGCAAAAACGGGCTTGGGATCATAGCAGAGATTGGAGGCAAGGTGGCTTAGCTGGGATACTGGCTGGGAAGTGGTTTGAAGGGCAACCCATGGAGAGTTGAATTGTCTGTGAGGTGCACCATGCTTTATTTGCAATGTGACTTACAAATATGCCCGTTGCTCTTATTGCTGCAACAAACTAACATAGCTAGCCCTCTAGAAATCTTAACATTTCACATTTACATGTGAAAAAAATGGAAAAATTATTACTTGGGAAGTCAGAATTGGTTTCAGTACTCTCAGTGCACAATTGGTGGCAAATCTGTGTTTCTTCTGTTTAATGTTTGAAATGGTCCAGAGCCCCTCTACTTCACAAATGCTTCCTATGCTTCCTTGAGATGGAATAAAGGTACATTACTGTATAAGGTGATTAGGTCCAGTGATTATGGCTCCCTAGAAGTTTCTAAGTTGGACAAAAGCAAGCCATTCAAGAAAGCTAACACAATAATTCTGCTAGGATAGGCTACTCACATTGGTGCCCATTCACTAAAGAGAAATCAGGACAGTTCTGTGGTTTCTGTTCTTGCTCCAGGTCTCTGTCCCAGTCAGATTTGAGGAAAGCAGGTAGGCAGCACCCTGTCTGGGTTATTGGGATGCATTATATGTAATCTGTCTCTGTAACAGTTTGGAAACATCACTTAGTGCAAAAAGTAGTAGTTACAGTTTTGACCAGCACTGCTCATACAGTTCATATCTCAGCAGCCTTAAAACAATGTATGATCTAAGTACATGAAAGAACACTTCTTCCCATATTAACCTGCCTGCACTCTACCTTGCTCTGGTGTCCTTCTCTGAACACCTCCATCATATGTGAGGTTTATATCAAGGGAGAGAGATTTTATGGTAGTAATAGCCCAGTTATGAAAAGCCCTCCCCAGCTTTGCTGTTTTTAGGCCCTGGGGTGTGGGGGACTGCTCAGGCAGTGTAAGCTCTCTTATTCTTAATTACACTTTCATAGAATATACATATTTTTTAAAAGAGGGAAGAGTGGCTGGGTGCAATAAACTCATCGAGTATCTTGAAGAGAGGGGCTGTTCTTCAGGTCATAATTTTGGTGAGAAATGGGAGGGGCATGCTCACTTTCAGGTATAAGATAGGGAAAGCAGGTTACTGTATCCTTTTGACTGTTGTGTATCCCATTCCCTAGCATTTCCCCCTGACTGGTGCTCCAACATTGATTCTTTGAAGGAAAGTTTCAAGATGGTGAATCGACTCAACTGGTCTAGCATTGAACACTCCCAGTTCTCAGGTGGGTTATCTTATGTTTTGTCACACCTTGTTCTCATCCTTCCATTGCAGATATAACCGACCTTTTTTTCCTCTTGTCAGGAACTCAAAGTGACTTACATCCTCATTACAGGAAAATGGAACATGAAAACATAGAAACAGAGCAAGTCAGTAGTGGCCTCCCGGGCCATCTAGTCTGACCCCTGGCTCCAGCTGGCTCCACTTATGACATGCCTACCATGTGCAGTAATGTGGCGGTGATGATGATCACCAACACCACTTACTGTTATATCCCACCTGTTATCCTCCCGTGAGCTCCTCCACTCTATTTATCCTAACATCAGCAATCCTGTGAGGTAGGTTAGTCTGAGAATGGCCCAAAGTCACCCAGTGAGCTCCATGGCCAAGTGGGGAATAGAACCCAAATCTCCCAGGTCCACAGTCTAATACTCTGGTTATTGCACTGCACAGACTCTTAGACAGCACACTAGTGTGCGGGGAAGGAAGGGGTCCTCCATATACTTAGAGGGAGAAGCAGATATAGAGAAGGAGCTCTTGAGCAAGAACAGAGAACAGTGATGCTTCTTACCTCTCTTTTTACAGAGTTGATGGAGAGTCTGCGCCAGGCTGAGCGTAAGAACTGGACCCTAGACCAGCATCACATTGCCAATCTCTGTGACTCCCTTAATCACTTTCTCACCCAGACTGGTCAGCTCCCTCACCTAGGAGGCCCACAGCAGCCTCCCCGAATCTCCGAGTCCTGTGCCATGAATAGTGGCAAACAAGAGCAGCCGATGAACCAAGGTACTCAGCAGGGTAATCTGGAAGGGCCATGCCAAGACAGCGGGTGGGACTTAATAGTATAATAACTGAATAGCACAGTCAGATATCCAGGGTGACTACAACCATATTCTGGCCATGCCTAGGCCCCTCTGGCCTGAGTGCACTAATTATAGCACTAAGTACCAATATCTTAAAAAAGCTTTGCTAAACATGTTGCATAGTTCACCAGCCACAGAACCTGTAGTAACATGGAAACAGAGCGAGTCAGAAGGGGTCCCCCGGGCCATCTATTCTGACCCCTGGCTCCAGCTGACTCTGTTCATGACATGCCCACCATGTGCTTGTCCAGCCTATCTTTGAACACCCTCATCGATGGGGCCTCCACCACCTCCCGTGGAAGCCCATTCCATACCCTCGGGGTCCTAACTGTCAGGAAGTGCTTCCTGGCATCCAAGTGGAACCTTTGCTCACTGAGCTTTGCTCCATTGGAGCGCTCCCTGCCTTCCTCTGCAGGGGAGAACAGGTCTCTACCCACCTCCATGTGACATACCTGTATGTCACCAGCATATCCCCTCTGAGTCTCCTCCATGTTGAAGAGACCCAGTTCCCTCAGTCTCACCTCATACGGCATCCCCTGCAAACCGGCCACCATCCTTGTGATCCTACTTTGCACTGACTGTAACCTGTCTATATCCTTCCTGTAATGAGGGACCCAAAACTGAACACAATACTCCAGTTGCAGGTGCACCAGAGTCGTATATAGTGGTAGTAATACCTCTCTCGATCTAGAAGCCACACTTCTGGCTATGCAACCAAGGGTGATGTTCGCCCTCTTGACCACCACATCACACTGCTGACTCATGTTTAGCCTGCAGTCAACCAGCATCCCGAGGTCCCTTTCACAAGTGCTGCTCTCCAGGCACTTGTCACTAACCTGTACTTATGACACCTATTCCTATGTCCCAAGTGCAAGACCTTGCACTTATTCACATTGAACGCCATCCTTTTGTCTCCTGCCCACTTCCATAGTCTGCCCAAATTCTTTTGGATCTGGAATACCTGCTCCTCAGTTGTGGCCACTGCCCCAGTTTTAGTATCATCTGTGAATTTGATCAGCAGACTGTTCATCCCTTCTTCCATGTCATTGATAAAAAGATTAAACAGGATCAGCCCCAGGACAGAGCCTTGGGGGACCCTGCTTGTCACTGGCCGCCATCCCAATGATTCCCCACTAATAGTTACTCTCTGCTTTTGGTCAGTCAACCATGCCCTAATCTATTGGACAGTGCATTGGTCTCTCCCAAAACTCTTCAGTTTCTCAACCAGGATATCATGGGGCACTTTGTCAAAGGCCTTCCTGAAATCCAGGTAAACTACATCCACTGCATCTCCTCCATCTAGCCACCTTGAAACCTTGTCATAGAATTCCACAAGGTTTGTCTGGAAGGACCTGTTATTGCAGAAGCTGTGTTGTGTGGCCGTCAGCCTCCGTTTCCTATCTAGCATCACTAGATCTCTTGCTATTATGAGCCTTTCCATTGTTTTTCCTACAATGGACGTAAGGCTAACTGGTCGGTAATTCCCCATGTCCCTTCTACTACCCTTTTTGAAAATTGGGACCACTGACGCCACCCTCCAGTCCTCTGGAACTTCACCCATTCTCCACGAGGCCACAAGAATGGAGGCCAGTGGGCATGAGAGACCCCTGCCAACTCTCGAAGTACTCTCAGGTGTAATCCGTCAGGGTCTGTGCCCCTAAGTCCCCGGCCTCATCTAATCTCCTATGTGGATCTCCCCTGTCCTGCTTTGGGGAGAACACAGAGGCAAAATAGTCATTTAGCATCTGTGCCTGTTCCCTTGTATCAGTCACTGGATCTCCTTCCTCCTTATGTAGCGGTCCCACTACTTGTCTCCCTTTCCTCTTCCTAGTATGTATGTATGCATTTATTTATAAAATTTGTATGCCGTCCAGTTAGTTACATCTCTGGACGGCTTACAGCATAAATAAATTGACAACCCATTCTGGCTGCAAGTTATAAAATACAATAATAAAATTCAATATTAAAACATATTAAAATGTTGATTAAATAAAAAGGTCTTAACCTGACGCCGAAAAACATATGACAGCACCAGGTGGACCTCTCTGGGGAGTGCATTCCATAGTCAGGGCATCACCGCAAAGAAGGCCCTCCTCCGGGTACTCTGTCTCCTAACATCTTTCACAGAGGATTCCTGGAGGAGGGCTTCTGTTGCCGATCTCAAGGGGCGGGAGGGCAAATAGGGAAAAAGGCGTTCCTTTAGGTATCCTGGTCCCAAGCCGTTTAGGGCTTTATAGGTATTGAATTGAGCCTGGACTTCGATGGGAAGCCAATGGAGCTGATAGAGGACTGGGGTTATATGAGAATAACGCCCAGTCCCCAACAGCATCCTGGCAGCTCTATTTTGAGCCATCTTAAGTACCCGGACTGTCTTCAAGGGCAGCCCATAGTAGGTACGTGTCTGTGCATAGCTACAAACATTGTTTTTACAGAGATATTAAAATGCATTTCAAGATCGCATCCATGTATGTTCTTTCCAAAGAACAAGACTTTGAATCATTTGTCAGTCTTGCTACAGTGAAAGAGACTCAGGAAAATTTAATTAGGAAACTGATGAATACTGGAGAACAACTCATAATGAACTGTTCTGCACAAAGCCTATTCATAATGCACTCATTATACTCCCAAAGGTAGGAAAAAAGCATTTATGTGGCTTTTGTTAAGAGATCAGAAACATTCACAGAGAACATTTGGAGTCAAAGGCTGTTTTTCAGAGGATTTTGAAGGAATCCCAGCCCTCTCACTTCTAGAATGAGATTGCATTGTGTGAATTATCCCATGATTAACCTATCTCTGTAGAGTCAACAGTCGTCTGTAATATCAGACAAAATACTTGGCTGAGATTAGACTGTCCAGAATATCCAAATATTTAACTATTTTGACTTCAAACTATATCTCACTTTGTTTAGACTTGGAAAGAATAATAATAGCACAGATTTGTAAATAACTACTGCTCTGTTTTCCTGTGGCAAGTAAGAAATGCTTTCCAAATTGACAAATTTGTTTTCTTTCAGATGTTTTGATGTGGCAGAAAAGAACTTTACATTGATATGTAGAGATAGGCAGGCTAGTTTAAAAAGTGTTTCTGAGCTAGTAACTTTTGTGGGCCTACTATCATGGTTGGATTAGTACATTTTTTTAAAACCTAATAGGAAAAGATGAAGGAGGTGATGAGAGTTGATGCAGCAGATTTAGTACTCAGAAATATAGTGACTGGTAGACAGATGGATGAGTTCAGCCTATGAGGAGGAGATAGTTTGCAGTGAAAACAGCTATGTAGGTTGTTTTTGTTTCCTCCTTTGTTGATTTTGCAGAATATGAAAGCTGTATGTATTTTTAGGATGATTTACTTTTTTAAATTAAGTAGGTTGCTAAAAATTGGATTTTCTTATGTAAATCTTAGGAAGAAGCAAATAGCCAAAATACTTTGACTTAAAAGAAACTATCCCTGTTTATGCAGATCCAAGGTGATTCTGTAAGAGTATAGCAAGTATGGGAGAATGGATATATGTCCCTGATCCCCCCTTAGTCCTCTACACTTCTAGACTGCAAGCAGGTACCTGGCATATTGATGGTTCTTTTTCCCTTTTATCTGCTAGTGAACTCTTACGGTCAGCCACAGCCTCCCCATCTCTACTCTGGGCCATCTCCAATGTACCAGATTTCCACCCAGGACTCACCAGGGTATAATCGTCCAGGTAAGGAGATAGTGTTGAAGTACCTTCTGAGCAGTCAGTGTTGAAGAGTTGGTAACTTTAATTGAGGCCTGACTTTCAGGGATCGTCCAAACTATCTGTTTCCCCAGATGCACAGAGGTTACTCTCAGGGCACTAGAGTTAGGTGCTCACAAACTCCTTTTTCCATCTTGTGCACACATGCTAGGGTTGGTGGCAGCTCTTTGAACGAAGGAGTGCTGGAAAGAAAATTCCTGATAATTGGAGTACATGGGATATGTATGTTGTCCCCAGTGCCTTGGAGATGAGCTGGTAGTTTGTCATACATCCATGTTCACTAAATTTTGAAGAACAGGAAATCTGTGGGTGTAAAGTATGAACAATATCAAGTCTTCAAGTCTCTGTTTCTCTTGGTTGAAGACCCTAATAACGGCATTTACTTCCTGCCTTTGTTTACTCTTGCAAGAAGCCAGGGCAATTTCCATGGTTCCCCTTTCCACTTTATCCTCACAACAACCCTGTGAGGTAAGTTAGGCTGAGAGTCAGTGGCTGGCCTAAAGTCATTCAGTGAACTTTATGGCTAAGTGGAGACTAGAATCTGGGTCCCCCAATTCCCACTACAGTGCTCAAACCACTATACTACACTGGCTCTCATTAGTTATAACTACCCAACCTTTAGTGATCTCCCCAGTTATGCACTCCTTTTGTTCTTCTCTTATCTGTACTTTCCTTTGGATACTGTGCTGTTGAAGCATGGCTCATCCAAGATCAACTGGAAGTAGAACTGTAACTTTGTTTCTGCACAGCATGGTATCCTCATAATATTCTGAAATGTTCTGTTCCCAAGAAAAAGAGAAAAGTGACTGAGGATTGCAGCCTTAAAGCAAGATCCTGTGTTCAATTAAAAGTAAATCCCTTTTGGTGCAAATACACTTGGCTGCTTCTGTATGAAGTTTTGATTGTGCAA